ATCTAACTATCCATCTATATTTCAATCCATCTATCCATCCACCTCTCTCAATCTATGTATCTATCCATCTATCTATCCACTCATCTATGTTGTCTATCTTATCTCTCTCTTTCTCTTCTCTACCCTTTCTCTCTATCGTATATCTATCGGCCTTATCTATCTATCTAATATTTCTCTATCATCTTCCCCCCCTCTGTTTCATGGTCCGTTGGGCCGCTGGGGAAAACCAGGCCGCCCCTATCTACCCCACCTTTGCTGTTGACGTCTTCCTCGTCGTCGCTAAAGGTGGCTTCAGCGTGGTCGTAGCAGCCGTCGTCTCGGTCGGACATGTGGTTGTCCATCTCGGCAGCCGTCGGTTCCTCGACTTTGACTGGGGAGAGGGGGGGGGGGACACAAGGCAGAGGCAGATGGGCCGGAGGGAAGCAGTCAGTTCCAGCAGGAACTTCATTTCCCATGATCCCCTAGAGCCGGGAGGGTCAGCCCAATACTGACAGGCCGGTCTCGGAGACGAGACGCTAGGAGGGAGTAAAAACCAGCCACATTTCTCCAGCAGTGACCCACCCTACCCCACGCCAGCAGGAGCTACACGGGCACCATAAAGCCTTAGTAAGGCCACACCTGGAATACTGCATCCAATTTGGGCCACCTGATTACAATAAAAGAGGTTGGGACTTTGGAAAAAGTGCAGAGAAGAGTAACTAAAATGATTAAAAGGCCTGGAGACTAAAACACAGGACGAACGGCTCCAGGATCTGAGTCTGGCTAGTCTAAATAAAACGAGAAGTAGGGGTGACAGGATAGCAGTGTTCCAATATTTGAGGGGCCGCCCTGAAGAAGATTTGGGGTCAGTTTATTCTCCAAAGCCCCACAAGGCGGGATGAGAAGCAGCCAATGGAAACTAACCAAGGAGAGAAGCAACCTGGGATGAAAGGGAAACTTCCTGACAACTGAGGACAATGAACCAGTGGAACTGCTTGCCACCGGAAGTGGTGAGGGCTCCATTACTGGAGGCTTTTAACAAGAGACTGGACAGCCGTTTGTTTGGAACAGACTTAGAATAACTTTACTGTCACTCTGAATGTACGCGAAGAAGAGACTGGGCAGCATTTATCCAGAATGGTATATATATATATAGGGCCTCCTGGGGGGGCGGGGGGGTTGGGCTAGAGGACCTCAAGGTCCCCTTCCAGCATTATTCTGGTTGGTTTATGCCTCTTTTAAATAAGGAGGATGAACGGCAGAGGCCTAGGCTGCCCCCCCCCACACCCCCAAAGATCTCCTAACAGGAAGTAATCCGGACGGCGATGGGCGACCGACCTTCGACCGGAGGAGAAGGAGAAGTGCAGAATTCTGGAAACTTCTCTCTAAGCATCGCCCGGAGTTCCCGGTCCAGCTTCGGATTATCGAAAAGAGGAGCCAGGTGTCTGTGGGGGGAGGAAGGAGAGAGGAGAGGTGGGGGGTGTGTGGAACGTTGACCCATAGATCTCAATAGTCGAAAAATATTTTTAAAAAAGCCTCCCCAACGTCCGTGTTTGTGGCAGGTCCTTCTTTCCTTTCTTTCCTTCCTTCCCTCCGATCCTTCTCTATTCCTTCCTTCCTTCCTTTCCTTCCTTCCCTCCGATCCTTCTCTATTCCTTCCCT